CAAAGGCAGATGTGAGTCCAGAAATGTGTCAGAGGCCTGTGCCGGCCGCTGGGCGGGAGGCTCCGGAGCTGGCTGCAGAAGAGGGCGAAGGACCCGCCAAGTGAGGGCGTGCTGGGCGGGGACCTGTCACCCCCGGATCGGCCTGTTTCGCCTCTGGCCGCTCTGGATACAGGGCCCTTCACAGAACCCTCCACTGGAGCTTCGCATCCGTCTGGGGGCCCTGTCTCCCTCCCCTCTTTTTGCTTCTGCTTTTCCCTCGGCGCTGCTGGCCGAGCCTGGCCATTTCTTGCTTCCTCTCCTCGGTCTGCCCCTGGCCTACTAGGCTGTCGTGCTGAGGAGGGATCCCCCTCGGGGGCAGGCCCCTCATCGTGTGTATCTCTGTGGCTCGATGCATAATTATTGAAGAAATAACCAAATGAGCAAATACATGAATGAGCGGGTGAACGCTTTTCCCCAGACCCCTGTCTGACATTTGTTTATACCGTAACCACCCATCTCGGAGGGACGCTGGTAGTGGGGCCTACCCGTCTGGTTTTTCTGAACGGTGCAGCTCTCTTTCTGAGCGAGGCCGTTTCCATGGTGTCTGTGTGGCAACAAACGGGACACGGAAACCCCTCTTTTGCACCCTGGGCGTTTCTTAATTGGGTGCAGGACTTTCCGTGTCTGGACCTTAGGATTTCTGAGTCTTTGATGAGTGGAAGCAGAGATAAAACAGAACGTCTCAAACGGCCAAATATGTGGCTCTGGGGTGGCCTCCGTCTGGGTTCCGGGAGGGATCTGCTGGCCATTCCGACAGACGTCATTGTCCTCGGGCGAGCCCCAGATGTTGGCAAAATAGTCCAAGAGCGAATAAGCCCACGGGGATGCTAAGGCTTCTGTTTATAGAAGAAAGAAAAGCATGACCAGAGCCTTACGCTCAAATAAGTATAAGTGGGCGGTTGAAATGAGCAAGTGTTTTAAATCAGAGGTATGTTTGCGCACACCTACCCGCCGCCTCCTTCCTGCCACACTGATCCCCCTGCCCTGCTGGGAGGGCCATGGTGGCTTTTGGAGGACATCTGACCATCTCTGGCTGCCCCTCACTCGAGGCACAACCCCAACTCCACTTTGAGCCCGGCTGGTGGGGAGACCCACCCCCCCAGATTCTGCTGGGGACCCCGCTTTCCCTGGGTGCTGCTTTTTGTCTCTGAAATCGGCTCCCTTGACAAACCCCTGTCTCTTTTTGTACCCCAACCCTGAGTCCCTGAGTCCCTCCGTTTCACTGTCCTTCTAGCCAAGGGTGGCGGTCCCTGCATCCTTGCAGGCGGAGAAGTCCTGCCAGCCAACTCGTCTCCTTGGAGCTGTGACTTCTCTGGCCTTCGCTGCCCCAGTGGGGTGGCCCTTCGGAGAAAGGCCATAATCTGTGCTGGGCTGGGGAGGAAGGGCGTGCTTCCTTTGGGCTGCGGGCTGAAGTTATAATATGTTGCTGAGGTTTTCTCTCTGTAACCCATTCATTTAAAAATATTCATTTTTTAAAAATATATATTTTTATTGATTTCAGAGAGAAAGGGAGAGGGAGAAACATCAGTGATGAGAGAATCATTGATCGACTGCCTCCTGCATGCTCCCTACTAGGGATCGAGCCCACAACCTGGGCATATGCCTTTGGCCAGAATCAAACCCGGGCCCCTTCAGTTCGCAGGCTGACACTCTACCCACTGAGCCAAACCGGCTAGGGCTACTGTCCTGTTTTGATGTCCTGTTATGTGCAGGGCCTGGTGCTTGGGGTTGGGAAGCAAAGACAAGTAACCTGCAGGCTCTGTCCTTGGGAGCTGGCAGCCTGGAGGCGCAGGTGGCCAGCAAAGTGAATGTAGGTGGAGCAGTGTAACAGATGACACAGGGCATTGCACAGGGCGCCCTGGAGCTCAGAGGAGGGTCACTGATACTCCCGGGGGTCGGCTGCCTCTTGGGTGGGGCGCTCCATCCACAGCATCCTCAGAAGTTGCGGAGGAGCTGAGGGACCCTCTCGAGAATCGCTGACAAGAAACACGCTGGGGTGAGGGGAGGGAAGGAGTGAGGGGCTGGGAGAGGCTGAAAATGCCCCAGAGTCTCAGCCGCAGGAAAACCAAACAGAAGGAGCGGGCGGTGAGGAGAAAGGAGCCGCACACTGTGAGTGGCTCCTCTGGCCGGAGTGCCTACTTGAATTCCCAGAACAGCCCCCTAAGTGTGGAATAACTAGTTCCATTTGTGCATGAGGCTCGCTGAGCTTAATCCCGTGTCCAAGGTCACACAGATGGGAAGGGCAGAGCCTAAGCCGCCCCTCCCTGTGTGGTCCCCTCCTGAGGCAGCACTTCTCTTCCTCCACATTCTTGTGGGTCCCCACGCATTCCTCCCCTTCCCACTCAGCCCAGAGCGGGCCCTGACCCCTGGGTAACAGACCCTCCTGGTGGCAGGCGAGCGGGTAGCGCCAGCACCGCAGGCGCAGGCCTCCGCGGTGGAGCTGCAGATTCCTGTTTAGTTCCAGGGGAGCGCTGCTGGCATCGAAGCCAGAGCGGTTTGCGTGGAATGTGTTTCGAGGATGTTTGCGGTCTCGTGGGTTTCAGGGGCTGAGGTGTCCGCCGTGACTCCGCGGTGGGGCAGTGGGGTGGGTGGGAAGAGCGCTTGCTTTGGCACCTGACCCGCCTGGGGTTCAATGCTGGGTTAAGTAGGAGGGAACAATTCCAAGATTAGGGAATAAATAATGAAAGAAACATAGCTGAGATATTCTTTATATATAGTTTTTTAATTTAATTTCTCTGGATGACATTTGTCAGTAAAATTATATAGGTTTCAGGTGTACAATTCTATAATACATCCTCTGTATATGGTATTGTGTGTTCACCACCCCAAGATGAGATATTTTTTAAGCATCGGATTCCTCATAAAGGAGGGAAACGGGCTCCCAGCAATGGCACAGGACACCCTCTCTTTCATGGGTCCCCCAATTGAGCTCTACGGCCAACTTTCCTCCAAACCACCTTCAGCTGAATGAGAAAATTATATCCTCGCCTACTCTGGGCTTCTAGTGACAAAAACCCAACTCAGACTAGGTCAGTGGTCGGCAAACCGTGGCTCGCGAGCCACATGCGGCTCTTTGGCCCCTTGAGTGTGGCTCTTCCACAAACTACCACGTGCGGGTGCGCACATACAGTGCGAAGTTGACTTAAAACTTTCAGTAAAGTTTATTAAGTTAATTTTAGGGAGCGTTATGGAGTGAAAGAGGATGTAGTGTTGAGAAAGATATGTTGAGATGGTTTGGACATATAGAGAGGATGAACGAAAGGAGATAGATGAAACAAGTATACAAGACAAGTGTGGATGGGAGAGTTGGAAGGGGTCGACCTCAGCGAACGTACCTCAATCAGATTGAGGATGTTTTTAGCAAAGGCCAGCTTAGGAGGACCCTAATTAAGTGAATAACAATGTACCTACCTATATAGTTTAAGTTTAAAAAATTTGGCTCTCAAAAGAAATTTCAATCGTTGTACTGTTGATATTTGGCTCTGTTGACTAATGAGTTTGCCGACCACCGGACTAGGTTATGTGGGGGGAAGGGTCCACTGGGGATACTGAAGTAGCCCACAGAGCACAGGAGAGCTGACAACGGGCAAGACAGGGACCAGGGCAGGATCTGGAACTGCAGAGCCTGGAATGCCGCCGTCTTTTCTGCTTCTCTCCACAAGATAGTTTCACTTTCTGGCCTTGCCCATGAGCTTGGAACTGTGGCCATTCATGGATTCCAAGCTTGCATCTTAGCTTCACTAGTAAAGAGCAAAGAGGGTTCTTGGTTACAGTTGCAAAGTCCCAGGGAAGGTCTCTGATTGGTCCAGCTTCCATCAGATGCTCAGCCCTGGACCAATCACTGTGTGGCCAGGGAGGCAGGTCGTGGAGGAAGAAGGCAACTTCTGCAGATCATGTAGGCAGGGGTTGGGGGGAAGTTCCCCCAAAGAGAATTGAAGAAGCAATCCGGAAGAAGAAGAATGCTGGGTCGACCAAACACTAAGTGGCCCTTTCCCCTCATATGGAACCCATTCACAAAGCGCAGTGGCTGGCTTCCTGCTTTTCAGAGCCACAGGAAACCAACCCGAAGTCATGGTTTTGGGTGATTATGGGGGTGTGATGGAAAATATCAGAGCTCCTCAGATTGCCATTTTAGGAAAAGTCTTTCCATCCACCATTCCAAAGGGTGTTGTAGCATGTGTTTCTGTCTTTCTACTGCACAGACAAGAAACTGGGACCCTAAGGTTGTCCAGCGAGTTGGGAACAAAACTCAAATCAAAACTGGGGTGTCCTGACTCTGAGGTCCTGTAGGAAGTTTCTGCAGGGACTGAGGCAGGACATAAGCCTGGGTCCAGGCCCCGAAACCCCTCTGGCCAGGAAGGAAGAGGTTCTCCAAGGTCAGCCTGTCCTTCCACAGACATGTGCAGAGTGCTCCCTGCGGGTCAGGTTCAGGACCAGATGTTCACAGCCTCATGCCCTCCCCCACCCCCCAGATAAAACCTAGTGACCATACAAGGTGGTGAGTGCAGTAGGAGGAGGGCACCTGGCCTGGGTGGGGAAGAGGAGGGAGTGGCCCAGCGGGGCCTGTCAGAGGAAGTAGCCTTTGAGCTGGATGTGGAAGGGTGAGCTTGACCGGCAGAGAAGGTGGAAATGCATTATGGGTCAAGTGAGCAGCAGCTGTGAAGACACGGAGGCACGCAGGAGCGTGGCATCGCCTGTGTCCTGACCCCAGGAGCAGCCAGGCCTCTGCACCGAGTAGTTAAACCTGCTGATAACAACACAAAGATCTCCCAAGGTCAACTCCTGTCCACCTGTCCCCCGTCTCCCTGCAGCACCTGCATCATTATCCAGGCTTGAAGGGTTTACTTCTTGCCCTCAGTTCCACTCACTACAACCTCTTGCCCCCTTCAGGCTCCTGGTCCAGGCCTCAGAGCCCTCTGCCCGTGACCTGTTCCTGATGACAGGCTCTGCCTCTGTTTCAGAATCCCGGCGAAGGGCCATCTTTGAATACCACCGTGTGGAGCTGGACCCCAGCAAGGTCACCAGCACGTCGGCCGTGGAGTTCACCCCATTGCCAAGTAAGCAGGGGCGGTGCCTGCTGACAGGGGAAGGCAGCCTAGGACAGTTGTGTCCTAGAAAGATCTTTGGAGTCAAACAGACTGAGTGCCATTCCCAGGCCCACCACCGACCCCTGTGTGGGGATGGCCACCGAGCAACCCTGGGCCTCCATTTCTCAGTCGTCACCTGGGCCTCCCACCACCTCCCTCCCAGAGCGTTGGTCAGGGTTAGAACCACCGTAGGGAGAGTTGAGGACATGGATGGCAGCTCTGACACTACCTGGGTTCTCAGGCCTGGGGTGTGGTCTGTGCTGGACAGACGATGGCGACTGTTACTCACACATCATTGACACCCAGAGAGAGGCGCCTCTCGGGACTTAGACGGAGCCCCAGGAAAAATAATCCAGGGACGGAACTGATCCATCAGGGAGGGGAGGGTGGAAATGCATTATGGGTCAATGCATTATCAGTGGATTTTCCTCAGAGGAGGGGGATGCTGGAGTCCACAGGCTGAAGGCCATAAAAGGATTTCGCCATCAGCTCTCCAAGAACCATGGGGCCCTGGCCCTCTCCCCTCTCTGCACCCCACGCACCTACAGGTGAAAGCAGGTCACGGTCAAGGCCCCTGTTGGCTGCTGTTTACCCGAAGGATCAGGGCGGGATGCTCGTCTCAGGATTTGGTCAGAGCAGCTGCCGGGCTGAGGGAGAGGACAGCACTCCCGCCCTTGGATTTTTAAAGAGGGTTTTAATTTCTTCTTCTGTCTCATGGTGCCTCCCAGCTTCTGAAGCCATGGCCTTTCCCCTGCCTGTTTCCCCGACCCCCACCTTCTCCTCTTCCCTGGAGGTTCTGGGAGCACAGGATGGAGGAAGAAGAGGAGGAGGAGGGTCTCGAATGCTAGGTCACAAGTCTGAGTCTGGGCTCATGAGGAAGGACCCAGACACCATGGGGTCACAGGGCAAGGACAGTCTGCAGGCCTCAGCCCTCCCTCTGGGCCAGAGAGGCCTGGGGCCTGAGAACCGGTGGTTTCTCAATAGCTGGTGAGAGCAGATCTCTGCTCCTAGGACTCGAATCACACTTCATGTAGGAGCAGGGACATCCGAGGACAGGGCTGACTGCCCGGGCGGGGGGGCGGAGGTCGCGCACTGTCCTGGGAATGAGTTTCTGGGACACTGTTCGTACGCGTGAGCCGCTTCCCACCCTCCCGTGGATGTGTGAGCCCTGGCCAGCACGCAGGACATCCGACATGCAGATGAGAAACGAAGGTCAGTGGGTCTTATCAGCACCCACGAGGCACCCAGGGTTTGTTTTCAGTTTAACGAGGGCCATTTAGGGGCCGGCAGAGTCACTGGGAATGGCCAGGATGTGGGCTCCCCTGTGGGTGCAGCTGGTGGGGGAGGGGACAGTGTTCCGAGGCTGTGATTGGAGCCCCTGGGAGGCCAATTAGCTTTGCCCCCCGAAGACTCCCTATTGGGGGGGGGGGAGGGGAGGGTAATCCAAGATTCTTCCAGAGGTGTGGACGGGCCATCTCTAAGCCTCTGCACCCCTCGGCTGGCCCCTCTTCTAGAAGAGGCTCATGAAAAGGTGGTGTGGGGTGAGGGCAGGTGCTGGGGCAGAGGGACCCCACAGAGGCTCAGTGCTCAGACCCTCTGCTCGGATAGATCTTCATTCACACCCAGACCTGCCGCTCTCAGCTCAGTGACTCTCCCCAGGCCTCTGCTCCCTCTTCTGTATGATGAGGAAAACAACAGCATCTAGAGAACGAGAAACACGGTAACCGCCTCCCACCTGCCAGGCACTGCTTAGGCCCCCTGGATGCGCAAGGGAGCAAACCCGCCAGGGCTCTCATTCTCGGGCCAGGCCAGTTTCTGCCTATTTCCTGCCAGTGGCGCTCCACCCACCCCAGGCCTGCAAAGACCTGGCAGACAGACGGACGAGGTGCCGCCTACAGTCAGTCCCTCCCACTGACTAATGGTGTCTACTCTGTGCCCACGACGGCTTTTCTCCCACTGGCCAAGGGCTGGCTCCCAGCTTCCATCTTGGGGGGCCCATGGAATGCAAATGGATTCCCTGATTGACGGATTGTGGAGAGTCCCATGAAAACTCACACAGCGAAGAAACGCATGCGATGTTTAGCGAACGAGGGGTCACTTTTCTGTGGGTGGTTGGCACGTCTTGCTTCTGTCACTGTGTTCTGTTCAGCTGCTCATCAGATGCGCCTTCGATGGCAGCTTTTCGGGGCGAGGGCCTGTCTCTCCTTATAAAAGTGCTGGCTTTGCGGTAGCACCAGCTCAGGGCCGGACCTTCCTCCTTGCCCCCCCCTCCTCTGCCCGCCGCCACCCCCTGTCCCAGGAGACAGAAAGAAGGGAGGAAAGGAGGGAGGGCAAGAGGAAGGGACTCAAGTGAGGCAGGCGTTAATGAACTCCAGGGTTCCTGTTAGTCGGAGACTGCACAGTTCAGTGAGGACTCGGCACTCAGGAAAGTTGTACTTTGGGGGGCCCGGGGGGGCCTGTGCTGAGGGGCTGCTGCCTCCTCTCTTGCAGCCTGCCTGGAGCATCGGAGCTGCGACGCCTGCATGTCCTCGGACCTGACCTTCAACTGCAGCTGGTGCCACGTCCTCCAGAGGTTGGTGCCGGACTGACCTCTGGTTCCCGCAGGCAGCCTGTGGGGGAGGGGCAGAGGGAGCATGGCCGGCTCCTGGCCTCATTGCCAAGGTGACGGAGTCTCTGGCTGGTCCACTCTGACCCTGAGGTCAAGAAGGTCACAGGAATGAGCTTCTCCCTGAGGCTTGTGACCAATTAAGGTGCCTGTGTGGCAGGGTCCCTGTGATGACATTGAGCTCCTGGAAATCCCAGCTCCTGCCGCCCCCTCCTCACACCTGGAAAGGGTTGGTTGGTCCTGGGGCAGGGCTTCTTCGAGAGGCCTGCAGCCTCCAGCGTTCCAGAATCCGAGCGCTAAGGCTCGTGGGTCCTGGGGACGCGCCCCAGGCCCTGCATCCTCATCTCTGGGAGAGAAGCCGGGGGCCTGCATGTCAGCTCGGTGCCTCATGTGCACACACGCGTGAGGCCTGCCGGCTCAGAGACGGGGTGACCCAAAGACCCATTGCTGCTGGGTTGAGAGCTCCAGGACCCCAGCAGGTCTTCCTCGGGCTGCAGCAGGGTTTCCTGAAAACCAGGGGCACGGAAATGCCAGGCATCTGTGGGAAGCTGGGCAAACAAAGCTGTGTGTGCTTGGTTTTAGGATGAGAGGCAGGTTCAGGGATAAAGTTCTTAAATCAGCTCGTCTTCCCCTCCTGGTCCTGAATCATTTCCTCACAGATGAGGCTCAGAGCTGGGCCTGCTCTCCTGTCCGAGACAAGTAAACGGCAGCGGGGCGCTAGACCTCTCCTGAGAGGGGGATGCCCGACGATCTCCGAGAGCCTTTAGGGCAATCTTGAAAATTGCAAATTACAGAGTCCCTGAGCCCACTACAGCCCTAATACATCTGTCAGCGTTCCTTTGCTCCTTTCCAATATCCTGGCAGAGAAATAGAAGCCATCGCCTTTGCCGAGCACACAGGACACAGGTCCGGCTGGGAGGAGAGAGAGCCCCCTTCCCCGACCCTCCCCCTCAGGCCTCCCAGGTGTTCCTCCCACAGCTTTTATTCACTGTTTGTTTTCCCTGTAAGAGGGGCTGGGGCTGTGTGGTCAGAGAAACAGGAGTGAGGAATGCGCTGTTATTGTAACTCCTCAAATACCAAACAGCGTTTTTGCAAAGTGTTCAGGCCCCTTCACATGAAAGGCACAGAGCCTCAGAGAGAATACAGAGGGTGGGCCCCAGGCTGGTTCTTTTACGAGTGGAGCCTCGCGCGTGGCCCATCTTGTGCACGGTCACGCTCGAGAGCCACCGTCTCGGGGGGTGGTGTGGCCCGATAACCCAGAGGAGCCCGAGGAGCCCTGGAACCCTGGGGCTGGCTGCCACCGCGTGACTCAGCATCCAGCGACAGCTGAGCCATGAGAACTGCAAAATGGGTCAGAGGGAAGCAAACCGCTCACGGACAGCCCCGCAGAGCGCACACGCCCAATCCCGGATCTTCGCTCTGGTGCCAGGGACCATGCCAGTTGAACGAGGGTTGGTCAGGGTGGGGGAGGTTCTGGAAACCTCCCATCCTCAGGTGCCCGTGGGCCTGGGCTCAGCCACTGCCAGCTCCCTGGAGCCTCAGCTCCAGCGAAGAGCTCTCTCCAGCCCCTGAAAGGTCAGAGGGCAGGGCTGGTGCCCTGGGGCCGGCCACCGTGGCCGCTCCCACCAACAGCTGCTTGCAATCACCACGTGGACTCGTGGCTGACCTTCTCCCCTCCACCCTCCACCCTCCACCCTCTGCAGGCTCCCAGGACTCCCCCTCCCTGCCCTGAGCCTGGAGCTGATTTAGACAATTTCACGGACCTTGGCGTTTTCCTGTCATCCCACATTGCCCCCCGGTGGCCCATTCTGGAGTGTAAGGGTGACCTTCACTCCAGGATTTGGCTCAGGAAATGAGCCTTCCCTCGCCATTGGGAGGGTCCCAGGAGATGGTGCGGGAGCAGCATGCGGCTGGGGCAGCACCTGGCATTCAGGAGGCACTCAATTACCGGCCATTTCTGATGCCCTTCTTGGAATCGGGGTTGGTTGGCTCAGGGCTTAGAGTGTGGTGCTCTTAGACTATGTTAAGGCTCAGTCATTGAAGGAATCACTGTGGCCTAAAAGAAACGTTAGTTCCCACCCCCGAGGAGTGCCCCTAATCCTCCCTCCCCCGCAGCAGGGGCACAGAGGACCTGGGAGAGGGGAGGGTGGGAGGCTCGGGGCAGCAGGTGGAGCAGCTCAGAGTCATCTTCAGAAGGAATGGCTGCCCGTTCCCCGGGGAGCCTCGGCCCGCAGTCTCCCAGGTCTCGGGCAGACGGGCAGGCAGTTGCTGGTGCAGGACGTGAACCAGCCATGAATTCCTTCTTAGCACGGGTGGCGCGTGATGTTATTTTCCCATGCAGATGTCCCCGTACTTGAGTAGCACTTGATGGATTCCCCTGGCACCGAAGAGTGGAGATCGGAAATTTGAGCACGAGGCCGTGGAGAACATTCTCTGGTTTATCCTCACGCCTCCACCCCTTCCCTAGAGAAGTGCCCGGCGCCTTGCAGCCCAGCTGAGCTGCACAGTGTCCTCCCCGGGAGCCCTGGTCGGCCAGTTTCCATCTCTCCCAGCCTGTGGCGGGACCCTCCTGTCTGCCCTTTTGTGTCACACAGCGGGGTGTTGGCTAAACCTGCGGATGTCCAGCTTCACCCAGCCTCTCCCTGCCAAGCGCGGGCCCTTCCACACCAAAAAGGGGGCTCGAGGAATGAACAAGACTTCCTCAGATGAGAACACGCGTGTGAATTCCCTGTTAGCGATGTCCTGGCAGCCCCAAGTCAAGGGGATCTGAAAGGTCATTAGAGGTCATGGCCCACTACACACTCCTCTGGGCAGAGGAGGGCTTGGTCCTGGGGAGCTGGGTCAGAAAGAGAGGGTTTCACCAATGCCTTCCCCTCCTCCTGGGAAAGGAATAGAGGGTCCAGGAGGGTCTGGCTCCTGATTCCACAGCCGCCTGGTGCTGAGGGCAGCTGCCCAGTGGTCTCGGGGGAGCTGTTGCTGAATGGGGGGCAAGGAAGGGGAGAAATCTGACCTCTGGTTCCCCCTGCAGATGCTCCAGTGGCTTTGACCGCTACCGCCAGGAGTGGCTGGCCTACGGCTGTGCCCAGGAGGTGAGAGGCTTACCTGAGCCAGGCTGTGGGGAGCAGGAGGGCTGTCAGCAGGCCCTCGCCTGGTAGCTCTCTCAAGGTGTCTTTGGTTCTCAGTGAAATTGTTCCCTCCCCCTGGGACTCGGATCCTCTGGGAGGCTGTGCCCCTGGTGACATTCGTGAAGCAGCTGTGGCTCCAGGGGGTGGCAGTCATTCTGGGAGTGAGAAGGGCTGTTCCAGGCTCCCCCATACCTGTTCTTTCTCACTAGTGGGATTTCCCAGAATGCTCCACACTTTGATCCTGGGTGGGGAGCGTCCTGTTGTCACCCCTTATGCTATCATGTGGGTCATCCGTGTGTCCTTTCTCCCTCCCTTCCTCTCCATCTCCTCTTGCAGTGCGAGCACAGGCCCCTGCAGGCTGCCCACGTGTGGTCTGATTTACTCCTCACATGGCCCCGGGAGCTGGGGCTGGTGCCCCACTGGCCAGAATGGGAGACCGAGGCTCAGAGCGGTTTAGAGACTTGGCCTGCATCTCACAGTAGGTGAGAAGGCGAAGGTGCCGGGCCCGGCATTTAAACGTAAACCCCCAGGCCCCACTGCCGGGCACGCATCACCGTCTGTTTTATGAGGAAGGCTGGGCGAGCAGTCTTTTCCTGGCCTTACAAGAATCCTGTCCAGCGGCCTACTTCTGCCGTCGGCCGTTGGTGAATGTACAGATTCGCTCTGTTTATTTAAAGCTGGCATCTCAGCTCCTTCCTGGAGGAAGGATTCAAAACAGTAGACAGACGAGTTGCCCTGTAAGATGAGGTGCTTTCAGGTCTGGCCGGTGTGGTTCAGCGGTTGAACGTTGACCCATGAACCAGGAAGTCACAGTTTCATTCCCTGTCAGGGCACGTGCCCGGGTTGTGGGCTTGATCCCCAATAGGGGGCGTGCAGGAGGCAGCTGACCGATGATTCTCTCTCATCATTGATGTTTCTCTCTCCCTCTTTCTTCTTCTCTGAAATCAATAAAAATATATTTAAAAAAAGATAAGCTGCTCTCAGGATAAAGCGGGAAGCTTAAAGTCATGCAGGGCACAGCTTTGGTTAGATTGCCATGCTTGGACCATGCACGGAACCTTACATTTTCTGACCACCCAGGGGTGAAAGTGCCCCCCCGGCCCCCACCCCATGTGTTGGCACGCCCACCAGCGAGGCCTCTGTCAGGGCAGCGGGTCTCTCTCACAGGCAGAGGGCAGGACGTGCGAGGACTTCCAGGACGAGGGCCACTACTCGTCTTCCCCTGGCGGCTCCTTCAGCCCTTTGGACGGAGACCACAGCACCACCACCTCCTCCCTCTCCTTGGACAGCCTCACCACGGAAGGTAACGTCGGGAGAGGAGGGAGAGAAGCCCCAGGGAGGGGCGACTGCCCCGGAGTACCCCCTCTCTGACAGGGATTATCTCGGAATAAGAACTGCCCTGATCTCTCCGGATGCGGGGCCTGAGGCTCAGAGACCCCCATTGGGGTCACTTGCTGGTGAGAAGTGGAACCGGGTTTAGAATGAGGGGACTGCACCCCAGGCTCTAGCGCTGTGCTGGCCCCCGTCAGGGCTGTGAAGGGGGGGATGATTGTCCAGCCCTGGGCCAGTATTTTATACCATATTTCAGTTCATCTTACTAGCCATCCTCATAGAACCCTGAGGTCTTACCATCCCTGTGGAAAGAATAGACTCACTCTAGCCGGGTCACGGTGGCTCAGTGGTTGAGCGTCGACCTAGGAACCAGGAGGTCATGGTTCAGTTCCTGGCCAGGGCACATGCCCAGGTTGCAGGCTTGATCCCCAGTAAGCGGTGTACAGGAGGCAGCTGATCAATGATTCTCCTCATTGATGTTTCTCTCTCTCTCCCTCTCCCTTCCTCTCTCTGAAATCAATAGATACATATTAAAAAAGAAAAAAAGGGCCCAATGGGCCCAGCTGCTATGGCCCAGAAGTTGAGTGTTGACCCATGAACCAGGAGCTCAGGGTTCGATTCTGGTCAGGGCACATGCCCAGTTGTGGGCTTGATCCCCAGTAGGGGGAGTGCAGGAGGCAGCCAATCAATGATTCTCTCTCTACATTGAAGTTTCTATCTCTTTCTCCCTCTCTGACATTATTTTAAAAAATATTTTTTTTAAAAAGAAGGAAAAAGAAAGGGGCAAATGGAAAGGAGAGAAGAAGTGAATATGTTACAACGCTATTCGGCCACAGCCCGTTTTGTAGCTACAGGGCAAGTGAGGCTCTCAGTGCAGGTGTGAAACCTGCTGGTTCATAGGTCGATGCTCTGAGGCACGCCTGCCGGGCGGCAAATCTGACCTTGTGACACATTCACCGGCCCCTCAAGTCCTTCCTCAGCTTCCCTCTGTCCCTTAGGAGACTGTGAAAGGTCCTCAAGGTGGTGCCTTGGCACCAAGCAGCCGTGCCCCGCCCCAGCCTCACTCTCCACCCCCCTGCCCCCACCCTCACCGCCCTCCAGCTGCGCGGGCAGCGTTTTCTTTCTCAACTGGGCAGGTTCTTGCTGATGCTGGGCCTTTGCCCATGCTCTTCCCTCCGTGGGGAACCCTTTCCTCAGCCCTCCTTCTTGTCGCCCTATGTCTGTTGAGGCCCCCAGTCAGAGCTTCCTTAGGCTGGATCTTAATTGTCCCTCCCTCCCTCCATCCAACCTGTTAACTCCCTGAGGGCAGAGACCAAGTCTATTCCCAGTGCTGAGTTCAGAGCTGAACCTCAATGAGTATTTGCTGAATGAATGAATGAATGAATGAATGAACGAACGAACAGGAGACTAGGAAAAGCTGGCTTGTTCACGGCCTTCTACCACTGCACCGCTGTGTGACTTTGAGCAGGTCGCCTCCCCTCTCTGTGCTTCAGTTTCCTTGCCTCTGAAATGAAGGGTTGGACTGAACCTCCCCAAAGTCCCGTCCGGACCTAGAGTGACCAAGGCCGTATGATTCCACTAATCTCCCGCCTTCTCTCCTTTCTTTTGGAAGATGACACTAAGCTGAATCCCAATGCGGGAGGAGACGGTGAGTACAGAGCTGCCTGCCCTCTTCCTCAGAGCCCAGCCTCTCGGACCCGCCCCAGAGGAGGGGGCAGCAGTGCCTGGCCTGGCTTGCATCCCCAGTGGGGGAGGGGCAGCAGCAGCCTGCGCTTCCTAGACCTCCTGCTGGGCGGGGAGGCCGGGGGCTTCTGGGCACAGGCCCCCTAGATGGAAGGAACATGTGTCTCCGTTAGAATTTCCCATCTTAGGAACCTCCTGTGGTTCTCTGCTCTTGACTATCCCCCCCCCCCTAAAACGAGAGAGAGGAGTCGACAGGGCTGCACCAGGGCAGCGTGGTGGGGTGCGGCCTGTGGCCGCTGGCCTCCTGCCCCCATGGGCCTCAGCACCTTCTCTCACGTCAACTTTCCTTTGACCCCCCACCTAGGCTGGCAGAAAGTACGCCAACATTGTTCACCACAGTTTTTATAGGGTGCGGGAAGGTGGGGTCCCCTCCCCCAGGATTACCTGGGAGGCCAGTCTCGCTGATGAGGTGAGGTGGCCCCACCTTTCCTGCGTTTGCCCAGACCCAGCTCGGGCCTTTGCTGCCAACACTGCAAAGGGGTGGTGGACGTGTCCCTAACTCCAGGGCCTGGGAGGTCGGGGTCCAGCAGGAGAGAAGAGGCTATTAATGCAGCACAGTTTGATGGTGGCTCCCACCAGAGATGGAGCTGTTCTGTGGGCAGCAGGTGTGAACGTGCATGTGAGTTGCGGGGCGGGGCGCAGGGTGGAGGGTGCCGCTGAGCCACATCCCCTCTCTACACCATGTGTTCATCAGCCCAAGTCCTGACCATCAGATCCCCCGAGGCCCCGCAGGCTGCTGGCCGGCTGCTGGCCAGGTCAGGGGAGGCCAGCTTGGGGGCGTCTCCCCTCAACTCCCCCACCTGCTGGTGACAGATGCACAAACCCTGCTGCCGAGTGCCCCAGGGGCATTTCTCTCCCGGGTTTCCCCTGCTTGCAGAGGAGAGGGCTTGGGAGGGCAATGATTCTGGATGCATGTCACAGCCTTTGAACAATCCCATCCCACCCACTAGCCGAGTAAATAAGATCAGATATTCCCGCCGTTCGCATGCCCGTCTGTGTCTATTTCATTATCTCCACATCCCTTTAGGGTCGGGAGGAGGCGCACACAGCCAGGTGGTATCGGGAAGTTAGCTGGCACTGGCTCTGTCCTTGGACAAATCCCTCCGCCTCTGTATTTCCATGACCTCAGCCACTCGGGAAGGGCGGGACTGGATGAGCGTCCAGCTCCGTAGTCTATGGAAATACTGTTTCCTCCACGGAATATATTGCAAATGCTTGGGGTGTTCTCAGAGAGTGGCTGCTGGTTTATGGGCCTTCAGGCGACCTCACTCATCTCTTTTATTGAGCTCCTACGATGGGTTGGCCTTTTTTCCCCTCAGCGCCGAGGACATAGAGAGGAATAAGGCACGGTCTCTGCCCTTCACGGGGTCACAGTCTGGTGCAATGGACAGTGACGGGTAAAAATGTGGCCATTTTGCTGTCATAATACCTGGCGCTTATTGAGGTACCAGCCATGGTCCTCAGTACTTGACAAGCATTATTTTGCTTTAACCCTCACAATAACCCCCGCAGGTCACAATAATTACCCTTGTTCTGCATACACGATCACTGAGACACGGAGAGGTTAAATAATGTGCCCAGGCCACACGGCTGGTAAGGGGCAGAGGCTGAGTGTGAGTCCAGGCAGCCCGATTCCAGCTCCCAAACTCTTCACCATCACAGGCCCGGTGTGAAAGTCCCCGAAAGTACTTATGTGGCCTGGGGACAGAGAGAACTTCTCTTGAGATCCTTATTCCACCGACATTTGGGCAACGTGAAGCGATTTTGAAAAGCCACCTGAACCGCGCCCAGAACGTGAACGCCTTGCTCAGGACTCCACCCACTCCAGCCCCCGCTTTGTGTGTATTTGATACATAGATCGAAGGTGTTGTCAGCTGCCATCTCTGGGGCTTTGTCAGCACCCAGGACGCGATGGCCCCACCTTCCCGGCTCCCTGCAGCAGCCCTGCCCTAACGGTCTCCCCACAGGCCTGCAGGACAACCTGTCCCCCAAGACCAAGGGCCCCCCGGTGCACCTGGGCACCATCGTGGGCATCGTGCTGGCGGTCCTCGTCGTGGCGGCCATCATCCTGGCGGGGGTTTACATCAGCGGCCACCCCACTTCCAACGCTGCGCTCTTCTTCATCGAGGTCGGCTCCCCGCTCTGCTTCCGCATCTGTGTCTCCCTGGCCATTCAGTACCTGCCTCTCCCCGGCTCATCCCTCCCCCACCACACGCCTGGCGCCTCCTCCCACCCGAGGAACCTTCACCGACTCCATCCAGGCCCATCTCACACTGGCTAGTGCCCTTTTAGTCCCCAGGCCCCAGGGAACTCCTCTAGGCTTCCCGTCCTGTCTGCTTTTGCTCTCCCGCTGGTGAAATCAGGCCCCAAAGAAAAGAAATGAGACCAGAAGCACCACACACGGCCATTGAGTGCTGTGCAGCCAATCCCTCGTGATCTATGGCCCCTCATGGCCAGGCCCCAGGCCCGGTGTTTATTCAAAGCCATAATGGAACTGAGGTCTCTGCCTCTTTGCTGTGAGGGTTTTGTTTGTTTTTTAATTTTTTTAAATTTAATATTTTTTGAGAGTAGGTTTACTGAAGATGGGGACAGTGAAACAAGGGCGGGCGTAGGACAGAAGAAGCACCTGGAGAGCGTCTAGGCGGGGCTGCTTCTGCTCTCTAGAAATGTCACAGGAAAGACATGAGCTGACGGGGGCTGCTTGACTCACTGGAAAGTCAGAGAAAAGGCGGCCTGGAGGCAGGTCGGGGGGGTTAGGCCAGGACAAGCTGCCGCTGCCCATTGCTCCCCGGGTTGCAAGTCTCCGGGGACCCTGAGAGTTTAGGAGATGAACGCCCGGGAGGGAAGACAGGCGTGGGCCTGCCCCCAGCGGGGAGAGCACACCGCTGTCTGGGTTTTTAGATCCGACTCCACAAGCCATAGCCACAGTGAGTGGCTCTCTCTGGGAGCTTTTGCGGAGGATGCTGCAGCCTTGCATGTCTGAGTTTGGAAGAGCCAGCCCACGGTGCAGCCTGGGCGTGCGGCCCAGCCCTCTCCCTACGGGGCCACAGAGCCCTGCAGCGCCTGTCCCAGCCCCACTCTTGGCTTCTCACTGGCTCCCTCCTGGCACAGCGGTGGCACCTCCGTGACCACAGTCTCCTTCCCGGGGAGCACAAACCCACTGACCTCATTACCCAGAGGCCCAGGGGGTTCCCTCCTTTTGGTCAGACGCCCCCTGTTTCTTCTGAATCCTAACCAGTCATTCGTAAGCCACAGGGGTGCTGACGGGGCAGGTCTGAGACAGGCCCACGAATCTGCATTTTCATAAGCTCCGCAGCTGACTCTGTTGTAGGACCCGTTCTCTTGGCGTTTCCAGAGCCTCCCCGATTGATCATTCCCTCTCTCACCTACGTCCTCACTTCCCGCTGTCTCAGGGCTCCACTCCGTGTGTCGCTAAAGCTTTCACCTTGAGCCCGGCAGCCCTCACCTCCCAGCAGGTCTCCCTGCTGCGGAGGGAGGACCCTGACCTTCACCCAGCTCTCAGGAGGCCCCCAGTGTCCTTGTAACGCGAGTCTCGGTGCTCCCCGCTGTCCCTGGGGCGGGAGGGGGTGGGCCCAGTGGGTGAGCTCATAGCCGCTGACTCTGCTCTGTTCCCCGCAGAGGAGACCTCACCACTGGCCGGCCATGAGATTCCGCAACCACCCCAACCACTCCACCTACACGGAGGTGGAGCCCTCCGGCCACGAGAAGGAGGGCTTCGTGGAGGCGGAGCAGTGCTGAGGCCACGTGGCGCCTTGGAAGTGGAGAAAGGAACGGAGAAGTGATTTCGTTGGCCTCCTCCGAACACACGCCGGCTGGGACGCTGGGACAGTGGTGGTCTGTGGTGCCAGAGCTACAGTTTGGCCCTCGCACCCCACTCTGGAAGCAGGGGCAGGAAAGCAATTGAGTTTTGAAGGAACAATCACCCACTTTCGTCCTCTCTCGATGCCACGGGTCTCCCCTTCTGGGGCTGTCAGAGGTCTACTCTGTAGCTGCCCCAGAGACCCCGTCCCACCCGGAGAGGACCAGACGCCCGGCTCCCGGCCACCTCGCGCCCCTGCATAGGACACGAGAGAACTGGGCTCTTGACTGGGGCCGCCATATCCCAGGGTCCATAGACTCAAGAGCTGGTCCTCATGGCTATGGATCCGGCGCATCCCGCCCCTGCCCCTGTGGCTGTGGGGTCTGGAGAAGGCGTTCTCTCCGTCCGTGAACACATGTTCATCAGCTCTGCGCCCCTCGCCAAGCCGCATGGAGGAGAGCCGAAGGAGAGGGGAGAAGAGAACTTCCGGGGAAAACTGCATCTTTGTCGACGCGCCCTTTCTGCTGGGAACCGGTACGTCCGTGTGGGACGTGTGTGCAGCCCGTTAGCCCAGCTGGGGCCCCGCCTCGGCCGGGCGGGCCCTGGGGGCTCTTTATTCCAGCGGCACGGGGCGTGTCCATTGTGTTCACTGGCCTTGTCCTCTGTCAGTGCACAGCTTTCCTGATTGCTCTTGTTCCTCCTCCAAGCTGGGTGTGGGTGGCCATTAAAGGGTGGTTTTATGGAGACATACCCAGCAGAGAACTTCCGCTGGAGTCTGTTGAGCAGCAAAGCCACCGGAACGGTAGGGACACGGGACACAGGACACTCCCAGGGGAAGGAGGGACTTTCTACGGAAAATCGTGACCTGGAGAGATGCCTCCACCGCCTCAGCTCTGCTGAACGTTTTGGGGGTCAGAGAGTTTGAGCTCCCAAACGTAAGCTGGTTCTAAGGGAATTCTGTTCCGGAGATGAGTTGAGGCTGTTTCTGAAGAGCATTTGAAACGGAAATCTATCGCCCTGGCCCACAGGGCTCGGTGGGTTGAGTGCCATCCTGTGCATCCGAAGGCCGCTAGTTCAGTTCATGCCCAGGTTGCAGGTCCAATCCCTGGCGGGGGAGTGTGCGGGAAGCAATCGATCAACGTTTCTCTCACATTGATATTTCTCTCTCTCTCCCTCTCCCTCTCTCTCTAAAAATCAATAGAAAAATATGTTTAAAAAACACACACACAAATAAAATGGAAATCTATAGCTCACTCTCATCCAAAGTAAGCAATATTGGCAGTAAATAAATGGTAAATCAGTCTTCATTTGGTCACGCCCTTGCATGCATTGTCATTGGGGACCCTGCAAAAGGAAGAAGTTAGTTTAAGTGCTTGGCCTCCTGAGGTCAGGGGTCAGGAGTCCACAAAGAACCAGACACATCCAAACACTTGACGGTGATCTTCCAGCCGCTCCATAGTTTGTCCTCACTGAGGATGCTGATGACAATCAGAGTGGGAAACGGCTGGCCCTCGGGTATATATCTTCCTCCATAAGCCAGACCAGGGAGAGAGATGGGAAGTCAGAATCTGAGAAAGAAAAAAGTGCCACAAGGAGAACCGGTTCTTTCCAAGCTTCTGGGGACAGAAAGGTCGGGAACAGCCCTCAGTGAGAGATACACAGCCCAGCCGGGGCCCTGAAATGATCTGGTCTCCCCTCCGGGGGCCCTGGCCGGCAGGAGGATGAGTGTTGCCCTTGCCTGACCAGCAAAGCATCTGGACACAAAGAACGTTATGTGTCTAAATGGCCCGTGGGCGGTTTCTGGGGTGGCCAGATGCAGTGCACAGTGTCCCACTCCCAATCCAGCACGCTCCTCCCCGTGGGAGCTCCGCCAGCCGCTCTGGATTCCCCAACGGAAAGAGCAGGGAGACTGGAGAAAGGGGCGGTGATGCGCCCAGGCCGCTGTCATAACCACTGCAGGTGGAGAAAAAGCGCCCGACCCTTGGTGGTGGGTCAGAGAAGCCTGGCGAGCCCCTGGGAGGACAGGGCGCAGGGCCGTGGAGCTGTCTGGCAGCAGGCGGCCTCGTGTGTTGACAGCAAAAAGAACTAAAGATCCGTCATTAAGAGAGGCCTCCGGGCATTAAGAGCCTCTGGATGTCTCCAGCCAGAACATGTAGCCCCAGAAAAGAGAGCTAGGCACTCACGGGGTTAAGGCTGGGTCCCAGCTACGCTTAGGACCGTGGGCTTTTACTCTGAGGCTTAGTGCAGGTTGGCTGGGGAGCTGTGGGGAGTGACCAGGAGGAGACATCGGAGTCTCATGGTCAACCCTCCAGGTTCGGCTGACCATCGGTGCATAGCTTTTAGCCCTGCTAAAGCTCAAAGTTCATCAGCCTTCCGAGTTCCTTGATGCACTCTCATGATAATGGTGACAATGGATGGCTTCCCACACCATGGAACCAAGTTTTTAAATGTTTGTGTTTTACCAGAGCTCCCCTGTGTAATGTACCCCATGTGTGTATATTTTTAGGCATATATATATGTGTGTGTGTGTGTGTGTGTGTGTTAGAGTAGCACTTCATGTACTGTGCACGATCAACCACAGAGAGCTCGTAGCTTCCGTCCCTCCACCCCACAGGCTTAAGCAATCTCCAAGGAAAGTGGGGGGTTGGCAGGTACCTTTTTCACAAGGTGTCCCTGGGCACCCCCACCGTGATCCCCCTGGGAGATAGCAGGGCAGGGTCCATGAGAGTTCATCACTGTGATGGGAAGTGTTAACCCTGTGAGCTAGGGCCCTGGGGAGCTGTCTGCGTTGGACCCCGAAACCGGAGATCTCAGGGAGGCTCTGTTTTACACATGTCTTGAGAGCGCCAACAAGAACGTGGGAAGAAGAAGAAGAGTGAAGAGGCCAGTGTGAGAGGGGACCCTGGACCAGGCTCTGAGAACAACCTCATTCGTGTTTAATCGGCCGCTCTTAGGTTCGGCCAGTGAGGTCCCAGGGGGCTCT